AGCAATATTAAACAAAATACAAACCTTTGGCTATAATACTTTTTGTTTTCACTTCATGGTACAAAGCATCAAAAACCTTTACTGAGTTCTACCAGAAATACATGTATAAAAAGCTTTGTATATATTGTATAATGCAATGATTGTTCCTTATTGAAGTTTTGGGAAAAGCATGCAAAACAATTACAAACCCCATTTTCATTTTACAAAAAAGAGCTATAAGAATTATTAGTAAGAAGTGCTATGGTCACGCAACAAATATATTATTTCATCAGTTGACATGATTAAAATTATACGATTTGGTTGAATATAGTATTTTACAAGTCATGTATAAAGCTCATAAAAATAGTACCCCCAAATATTCAATTAAAATTTGTTTAAAAAGAGTCATTATAACCTCAAGGGAATGGAAATGTTTGTAAAACCTCCATTTAGAACTAGTCTGAAGGAGCTGCGTTGATTCCGGGAATAGGATTGTGGAATTGCGTCGATATCAACATAAAAATGTCTAAAACAATTTATATGTTTAAAAAGATGATTAAGGTAAAGTTTTTGAGAAGGTATGGTGCCAAGTGATGGATGCCTAAAATTTTTGTTTTCACTTTGGAGGTTGTTCAAGCGTAGGTTGTTGTTTGTTTTGTACTTAATTTATATTATTTTAAATAAAGGGCAGATATTATAAGATTATTATTTTCTTTCTGCACCCTTTTCATTCAATGTTTTCTTTTTCTTTTTGATGAACTTGTTTTATTTTGTTTCTTTTAAATGAATGAATAAAGAAAGAAAGAAAAGAAATGAGACTTTTGGATAATGAGTCATAAAACTTATCTAAATATTGGTTGATAAAATAATCAAGAGGGAAATTGGACATTTTTAAATAAATATAACGTGGTATCATCTACATACGAGTTGATCAATTGTATCAAACCTTCTATGAATCTGAATCGACCCCCTTTTAAAAGGAAACTTCCTCATATTACACTTTGTTGCTGAGATCATACTAAAATGAACTTTCCAAACACAAGAAAACAACAAACATAGACCCCACAAATCAAATAAATCGACTTATTTTCTATTGAAAAAAATAGATTAAGCTTTTAATGTTTTGGATCTACAACAATTTAAAACTCTTTCTCCACCAAAACCAGTAAACTTCTGTCCTTCCTCTAAAATATTGTTCACGTTGAGAGTTCAATTTGCATTTTTCTGGCCCACAACTCCTTTCATCTGGATAGTTTTGGCTCGCATATGAAAAAGTTTGGACACCGCTGCCAATAAACTAAAATACAAGCCAGATTAACGACGCACTTCTTCTCTGACCAGGCTGCACCACACACACACACACACACACACACACACACACACACACACACACAC